CTGTAAATATGAAATCTGGAGTATGATCACAGGCAGTACCTATAAGCTCCTTGGATAAAAGTGAAATAAAAAATATAAATGTCTTTAGATATATGCTTTACACTTGATGAAATGTAATTTACCTTCAACAACATAAATTAGACAAATCAACCAATGATTGTTCTATCCTAACTTTGTCACACTCCTTTCCTTCCCCTTGAATTATTAACTGTAGAGGAACATTCTATTTACATCTAATCGACTACTACATGACACTGTTACAAATATTCAGAGCATATAGTGAAGTTTCAGGCCTGCCAATCAGGAGAAAAATATTGATCTAAAAGCAGTTTCCAATGGTACTAATTTGCTGTAGTTATTAGCTATTGAGCCCATCTCCTTGAAACAATAATGATTCAGTGACTAAAAATTTAGAAGCAAAACCAACTTCCATCTACTTACTTCAAGGATATACAATTGCATGCAACTGTTTAAATGTTCCTGGTCAAATTGTCTGTTTCCATGGACCATTAAGTAATCAAAAGCTGACACAACTTCTAGATAGTACAAAAGTAAAGATTACATCTTTCTGCAAATCTGATTGCATACTTACAGTTTATTGACAATTGTTTACAGATTCAAAAGAAGAAAACACTGAATATGCCATGTACCAAACACTGGGCATTCTTTCAGTCAGTACTTTGCAACATCTCCTTTGGCAGAAAACAGCTTTCAAATGTTTTCTTAGTTAGCTAAAAGTCTTCCTATTCCTTGCTTCTGAAATCCACCATCACCACCACTCTTTGATGAAAAAGTCTTCTACTCAGAAATTTTCTTAGATTTTCTTGCACGTGCTGCATGTTTGGAAACTACCCACAGTTCCTCAATAATAGAGGTAATCCCCAGGTTAAGAATGCCTGGGTTACATAGTTAAGGAGCCTATTGTAACAAAATTTGAGTTAAATACACAATGATTCAAGTTAAATACACAATGGTTCAAGTTCATGACACAATACTACTTTCAGTACACAGTATTATACAACAACACTGTTCCAGTTTACATACAAATTTGACTTAAGGACAGACCTTGGGAATGGAACTCATCTTAAACCGGGGACTACCTGTATTCTAATCTGGCAACTGTAAAACCATTCCAAACCTTTGTATTTCTTTCCTGTATGTACATCATGGTTGATTTCTAAGGTACAGGAAATATTTAGTAGCTGTTATTTCTGCCAAAGGTGGTGTTGGAAAGTATTGACTGAAAGGGTGTCCAAACATTTGCACCTACCACATTCACTGTTTTCTTATTCTGAATATGTAAACAATTGCACATGAATATTGATTAACTCCAGGGCTTTAGTACAGACTTCTCCAAATTGGCACCCTTCGAACATGTTGGGATTGCGATCCCCAGACTCTTCACTCAGCATGTTCTTGAAAGTTCTGCCCATTAAGAAAATCTCTTTAGAATTGCTGATCTCTATGTACTGTGCATACATTACTATAGATGGAGGTATAGGAACAACTTTAAAGCCTTAATTGCTGCTAATCAGCTCAACGAGCAACTTTAAGGAATGTAGAGCATTAGCTATTTGTCTCATAGCTAATACATACCGAACCCCTAGCAGCCCATATTTCTGTTTTATTATGGAGTGATGGATGTATGATTAGGCATATTGATTTGTGTGACCCAGTAATGTTGACTTAGACTAGATGTAGCTACACAAGGTCTCAGTCAGAGACAGACCTTTCCTAATACTAACCTAATTTTGCTGCCAATGATCAACTCAGATCAAGAGATTATAGTTCTATCAAAGCAACAAGAATCTGGCAAAACACAAATTTAAAAAATCCAGAAATTAACACAAATGTTCTTAGAGATCACTTATATGTAATAAGATTCCATACAGCCTTCCTCAACCTAAAGCCAAGCAGGTATGTTGAACTGCACCTCCCAACATTCTCAGCCAGCATTAACCAACTCCATGCTGACAAGGGATGATGAGAGTTGCAATCTAATGCATCCAGAGATCCTCAAAATATAGAAGATTGTCCCATTTGATAAATGGAAAGCAAGTCTGCATCACTCACTCTCTCCTTTTCACCTACTGCCCATCTTTGGAAACAAGGCTTGGACTTCTATGTGCAAAAGTTTCCATGCAATGTCAAACTCTTCCTTTTCAAAAATCTATGCTGAATAAATCTGATGTTTGGGGTGGGGATATCATCAGTTATCAGGCATCCGTTTTACTATACTACCTGACTTGGGCTAGAATCTCTTTCAAATACTATAATTGCCATCTCTCTATCATATGCCTATCTAGTGGCTTAAGTCTTGAACTTTTATATGACACTATTTCTCCGAGAGCAGGAAAGAAAAAACACAACTTACCAACAGTTCTTTGCAAAGCCAATAATACTACTTCTCATACAATTCATTGCAGTGAATGAATATTGTTTATGGCATTATTTTTAACTTCTGGTTGACTTGCTGTGGAAAGATGCTGGTTTCAAAAAGCAACATACAAATCCAGTAAACAGAAAAAGAGAATTACAAAATGTCCATATTTTCAAGCAGAATCATTACACAAAATATATTTTGGGCTGATTGTATAACCTATTATTTTGCCTAGACTTTGGGCACAACAGAATCTTATCCATCTCTGCAGGGCTGGTTTCCTGAGTCTCACAATTATGCTTTAAATCTATTAGATTTGTTTCCCATAATAAAACAGAGTAACAATGATGGGGACATCCATCCATCCATCCATCCATCCATCCATCCATCCATCCATCCATCCATCCATCCAAATTTTACAGGCTTGGAATGAAAACACAGAGTCCAGTAGATGGTGTTTCTCTTTTATTTAAAAACAGTGCTTCATACCATTTGCAAAGGATGAAGAAAGACTCCTCTTCCCTTGCTTAGAGTTTATAAAAGCCAGCAACATGATCAATAATTTATACACATGGATAATACAAAAAAAAAAAAGAATAAAAGCTAAAGAGCTAACTACTCTGACCTTCACAATTCCAGCTACTTGATAATAATAAGAGTAACCCAATGAATACTGTATGGTTTGAAAGCTACTGTACAATATGATACTTGAACAGGGGGAAGGGGAGGGAATAGGGATGTTAGAGATTGCCACAAAGTCTTGGGATGCAGATACTACTTTTCCAGAGTCAGTCAGGAAACAGGATCCTGGTCAAGCAGCTTGGGCATCCTGGGGAATGATCCAGAGGAGGGGAGAGCATCTAATTACAATGCATCCTATGTCCCAAAGGTACCTGGCAAGGAAGAAGTGCAGGAGACACTGCACCAAGAGTCAAGCCAGTTCAGGGCATATTAGGTCTTCTTCTGACAAGCTCCAAGTATTACCAAGTCAGCTTGGGTGGTCAGTAAACTGTCATCTTGGGACTGCCCTACAGTTCTGCCTCAACTTTTGTCATCATGCCAGGGTCATGCCCCAGGTATTTACAAACAGAACTAAAACAAAACAAAATAAAAACCACCAAATTAAATCCCAAAAAGATTACTTTATCACTTATTAAATTCCAGGCAAAAAGAGCTGCCAAAACTGTGACATATTACTCTACTGAATATATAGACTAAATTCCTTGACAGTTGCTTCTCAAAGCAACTGCAAAATGCACTTGAATATTCTGCTCCGAAAGAGAGAAAACCAAGTAAGAGGCTTCTGATTTTCCTTTTAAAAAGTCAATAATTAATTGACATGAGGCAGACTACAAGCCAAAATGAATACTTCAGTGGACGGCTTTACGAAAAAAAAAATTGGCAGCAAATTTGCTATTGCTAAGGAGCAGGCCTTTACTCAGTTTTCATCTTTGTTAACAGGCAGTGTTTAGGTTCTACATATCTAGAAAGCCTCACAAGAAGCTTCTAATTGTCCAAGGCCTTGAAGTATCATCTGAACAAAATAACTGCAGAGGACTACAATGTTGCATTGTTTCTCCACCATCATATCATGGCAGTAAGTTCTGCAAATTGAGTGCTTATGAAAGTTTGCTTCTCAGAAGGGGTGCCAGGAGTACACTTCAAATCTTAAGGTTATCTAACCAAAGCAGGTGGGGAAAACAGCACACTCAGAAAATACCCTGAAAATATTAGTTTCACTCTGACTACCAGAAGACAGCTTGCCTCATTAACTGGAGATTTA